TCGTGGCGCAGGGTGCCGGAGATCCACGTCACAGTGACGAAAGGAGTGTCTTTTACATGCAGCTGCAAACAAATTTCACTTGTCGCCGTGCATGTTTCTCCTCTGCCTCTGCCGCTAGAAAGCTCGCAAGCTCCAGGGTGCAAGAAGAGGCCTCTGCCCAGCCAATGACGAGAGGAACACACCGTGCAACATGTCTACAGAAGTTGTCTTGATGAAATCCATTTCATGGAGCTAAGAGGAAGCATTCTAAAGCCGTCCCAAGTCTTCAGCCCTGACAAGCAGTGCAACAACTCACTTCAACCAACGTATAGCCTCAACTGGTTTCGGTTAAAGATGCCCACCTTCTTCTTGAGGCACTCAGCTTTGGTTTTAGGGCTGCGCCCTCGCACACGCAAACACAGCTCCTGCGCGCAAAGGCTGCAATAGTTCTGCATGTTGAATTGCACATATGACCTGTGACACCTTGCCCTTCTAATAGTGTATACTTTCGGACCAACAGGCACTCGCGCCTCCGCGGTTGGGCGCGTGGAATTGTTTTGATAGAGCACAGGTCGCCCTCCAGGCCTCAGTTTGGGATTGCAAATGAAGCAGACTTCACACACGCACTGATCACAACAAGAAGGTTCTTACGGCCTTCCAAGTCGAAAGATGGTGGGTGGTGACATGCGGCGACGAACAGAAAAACGGTTTCCCCAACAAGTATTCTTGCGCCAACTTGCACGAATGACAACAAACAGGCGCGCATGGGAACCAGCTCAGTTGTTTCTCATCTTCTTCTCGCGCATCGCGCGCGCAAGAAAGCGCAAGGAAGCGCTGCAGACAGCGTTGTAGCAAAGATAGAACCTGTGGCGAAATTGTTCACACATGATGGCATTCTAGCCCAGAAGGAAGCCAAGCGACTCGTAGACTGCGCATTTCCCCAATTGCTTTCCTTGATTAGTTGATCCCTTCCTGGGGGTGTCTTCTGAAACCTTTCCCAGTTGATTGGTTCGCGGCGCGAGCTCACCAAATCCCAACGGTTTTGCTGGGACTGTGGCTGCCTACTATTCAAAAGCTATCTGGAAAGGGTAACGTCGCGTCAATCCTTGCCAGCCAGGCAAAGGAAAATTGGTTTAGTACTGTTTTATTTTGCATTTGGGTCTTCATTTTAGTTGCGCAATCCTTTTCACGTTCAAAGACCTCTGGGGTTATCATTTCTTTTTCATCATGCTCATCCTTCCTGAATTGGCCGGCTTTGTTGTCACTTCTTCAGTTCAGGCAACCACACAACACATGAACAAACAAATGACAACACCAATACATTACATAGGAAAATGCTACCCAGGATGACACATGACATGTTGGCAAACAATAGGGCAATTCTCTAAACGAACGCCAACACGCTAAAACATGATGACCCACATGAAAGCTCAAATTACACATGAGAAAGCCCAAATGAAAACCAAATGACCAATGACAAAATGATGAACCAGGTGAATACCAACATGCAACATAGAAAGACAAACAACATGAAAAAATAACAAACAAAAACTATGTGAAAGTATGACACCATGGAAATTACCTTTAATCGGGGCTAGTCTCGGCCACAAATCAACGATAGTCAGGTACATTTCACAAAAACTGAGGCGAAATACAAGGAAATATGTAGCCGACCCGCCCAGCAAAGAGTGTTCAGGACTTGCTGACTTGGCCGCCTTTCCGTCAGGGGATGCACTTGCAATTGGGCTCCAGTATGCTTTTGTTTTTTCACGTTAACTTTGGTTAGTTTCGGCCACAAATTGGCCAAATTGTAGCGCTTCCATTGCGGCTAGTTTCGGCACGCGTGAACGACTGTCAAGTACATTTCACAACAGCTAAATCAAAATAGACGGAAAATGACTAGCCGACTAGGGTAGCAAAGAGGGTTCAGGAGTAGGTGACTTGGCAGCCTTCCCTTCAGGGGATCCAAGCGAAAAACACAAACATGCACGAAAAAAACACAGGAGGGCATGTACAAAAACCTTCGCGCAAACGAAACAAAATGAAATAAGTCTTTTTTGTCTTGTCCACCCCCGGTCTGAGGCTGTAAGATTCTCTTAAGAGTAGCCCTCATGAAGCCAGAAGCACGGAGTAATTGGCGTCAACAGCACAAACGTAAAGATCAAAACAAAACCCCAACATCTTCGACAAAACATGTATGCAACACGTCTCAGGAAAAATCAACAACGCTTATCCGCTTATCACACACTCATTTCGACACCCTTCATCTCAACGCGGGAAACATGTTCCCACTTTGGCTTCCGTCGCAAAATGTTGCAAATAGACTTTCCCAATCCCTGTCAAGCTGTCTGGGGTCTAGTTGTTTGGCTTTCGAGCACGTGAAAGAGTGCCGCCATGCTGCGCACGGGCGCAAACACGTCCATGACCTCCAGCAGCACGACGAAGACACGTAGAGAGGGAGGGCTTCCAGAACGAATGACGGCGTCACGTAGACGGGAGTGAAAGCACCTGAAATGGGCAACATGATCAAGGCATCGAGGATGCGCAACCGACTCTCGACAATTTTGGTGGGTGATTTTCTTCTGTTGGAAGAGCAGACAGTCTCGATCAGCTGCTGGTTTCCTCTAGAGTCGAGGCGCCGCGCAGCCCGCTTGCCCACACACCACATCTGGCACAGGGAAAACATGCTTCTGTTGAGGCCGTCATGAGCCATGGCAAAGCAAGGCAGCCGAGACTTGAGACAACTTTGGGCAAAGTCTAGTTGCTAAATTTGAGGTCTTGTAATTTTCGTATGGGCTCGCTGTGACACACGCCGGCTTGTTACTATATATACATATATGTATATATTGCCACTCTTGCCCTTCTGACTTGGGCCTAGCTCTTGGACAGCCAAAAGGCTTGAAACCGTTTTGTGGCAGCCGAGAAGCTCCATCGTTTGCGTCTACAACTGCCACTTTGCACCCACTACATTTTTCCACATGCGGTTTTGGTGAGCTTCCAAAGGTCGAAGGGTGATTTTGCCCTTCATCCCAAAGCCTAAAGAGAAGTGACAAAAGACTGCAGTTTCACTGTGCGCCCACACTCCTTTGCGCAATGGTGCCACTATTCTGGCCCCACCGCACCACCAGCTCCAACAGGCTATCCCCATCTCCTTCCAAAAACGGCAGAGGTCAGTGAATACAGCAATGTGGCTCAACCATGCTCACTCGGCTTTGCACCTGTCCCAGCCTCGGCTACCATCTTGCTTCCCCGAAGCCTAGAGCACCACCGGATCTGCCGTTGAGCTCCGAAGATTTTATTGCCTGGTGGTCAGGGTACAAACACAAGTTCATCAGCTGGAACTTGTTGCACTTTTCTGTCTTCATGAAAGGGGCGGACATGTACCGGCATTGCGCTGCCCAATTGCCCTCATTGCCATCTCTCGTCCTGGCCAGTGCACTCTCATTGCCACATGTTGCAGCACAGCGTCTAAGCACGAGGGCTCCCCTTTCTCCACGCCCTCAACTCCAAAGGTCCTTACTCACCTTTTCTTCACACTCCTCAATCTTAAGCCCCAGCTCCTCAGTCTTTCAGTCTACTTCTTTGGGGCGCGCCGTGCTTCTCTGTGCAGAAATTTAAAGTTCCCTCGGTTAGTTGAGCCTTTGTGGAAGGGCCCTCGGGAGTGGAGCCTGCCTATTATACATGACAGAACAAATTTCCGGAATACATGTCAGAGCACATACCAGGACCAAAGTCGGTCCTAGCACATGCCAGAGTCAGAACACAATCCAGAACATTGTAACATTTCCCCATCCGCATGTCCGCCTTTGTCAGGCTAGTCTGTCAATACAGGTGCACTGCCTTCTTCCACATCCCCTTTCAGGGTGGGTGGGGATTACTAAGTGGAGTATCATGCTTCCTCTATTAAAGTGGCAACGGTTCACCAATTCGGGTCAAGCATATGGGGTTTGCCCATACCAGCTGTAATGCAAACTGACTATAGATTAAACAATCACTGCATATTATTGGTCAAATACGTTTTGACGTTTAGAGGATATGTAAAGTTACTGTTTGTAGCTGTTTTTATTTATTTGTTCTGAAGCTGTTCTCCCACTCAAATACTCTCCAGGATACTTTGCTGACAAACCTCAAAAACTTTTCAATCATCATGGATGGATAACTTATTCGAGTGAATTTGCCGAAATAGAACGCGACCCTTCTAGTCGTTGATTGCAAGTTTGATGCTAGTTGTGTTGCATTATGTTGTCGTTGATCATTTCGATTTTGTTGGCATCATCTGTATCTCTTGCGCTTTATGTAATTAATCCATATGCTGGCTCCACGAGTATCATTAGTGGTAGCTATAGGATAACTTCTTGCTACACTAACCCAATCTTCTGTTATGCTTAATGACTGACACGCACTTGGTACTGCTGTCATGTGGGTTTGTTCCTTTGAGCAGATCATTTAATAGATTTTTGTTGCTTAACATGTTGCTGTAAACACTTAATCTTTCGATTTGCTTATACAAACATGGCTTTTACCATTTATACTAAAACTTGGCCTTCTTGATCCCAACTCATTAGATGTACGTATTTGATACCCGCAACTACTTCAAAATGACCTCAAGTATTCAAAGCAGACCAAAAAAAAACTGGTGTGTAACATGAAAAGCAAGTCTCACTAAAATGTTTTTTGTACCATGTTAGACGGGGGGTACAACATTAGCACGGTCTAACGTGTTTTTCTCACCGAGCGACCTATGTCACATCTAGATGTTAACTTTCATTGTAGACCCTCATGCCTTGAAACATAGTGAAAAGAAAGCAAGAGCAGCATCTTTCTTTTCACTATGTTTCTTCAAAGGAACCCATTTAAGCCCAGCCCACAATGGCCACACGCAAGAGCGCGCCTATGGACAAGGAAGGCTAGCTAGAAGTCGATGCGTGACTGGGTGCATTCCCTGAACATTAGCATCACTGCCTGACTGTTTGGCCTGACTAAAATTTCCCCTTGGGAAAGAATACACTTTTTGTTGAGCAAGCAGACAGAGCATGGAAAAGGTAGTTCGGATTGACATGGAATGCACTGATCTTCAGCGGAGATGTTGTTCAGTTTGTGCTTCTGGGGAACTATCCTGGACCCACCAAGGGTCTGATATAGAAGTCAAGGACTTCTACCGAAACTGCACTTTCGTTCATGCCTAAGGGAACCAATTTAGACCCAGCCGCAGCAATCACAGGCAAGAGTGCACCTATGGAAGAGGAAGGCTGGGTAGCAGGGATGTATGACTGGGTGAATTCCCAGGACATTAGAATTTTTTGTCTGAGTAAGATCTAGGTCAAGAGAAAAAGAAAAGGTCGGTTGTGTTCCTGTTGGACGTGTTCGGAGATGCCTCGCTCTCTCTGTGCAGAGTTTCTTGTTCCCTGAAACTTGGTCGAGTCGAATCTGAAAGACACGGGTCACTCCAAGAAGTGGAACACAGTCATAAGGTCTAAAGTGAAAAGCTCAGGGCACAAATGTTCGAGTGTGAAAAACCCACGCAACATATAAGGGGTCTATAGTGAATTAGGAAATCTATATTCCAGCGGTCTTGAAAGTTCAATCATGTTAGACCTCAGCCTCCTTACACCCTAAGGTATCATTCTAGTGATAATGTTTGGTGGTTGAACGGCTCGTGTTGAAAGCTCGGTGGCCGGAGCCTTTGCTTCCATGATGCCAATGCAGGTCCTGTGCTGTCCTGTGAGCCCCTGCATGGCAATACCTCTTTCTTGTGGTGGCCGGAGCCTCTTGCTCACCTTTTCTTCACACTGCAGCAGTCGTTGGCCGGAGCCCCTTGCTCACCTTTTCTTCACAGGAGCAGGTGGCCGGAGCCCTGATCACACAAAGGGCCGGACCTCAGCAAACTCTTGCTCACCTTTCTTCACACTCCTGAATCTCTTCAGTCTTGCAGGGTTGGGGTCTGCATGGTGGGGCCTTTCACAAACACAATAAACATAGAAGCACCAAGCCGACGCAACACCCAAGCTCTTATAGTTACTAGTATAGCAGAAAGCAGCAAAGTGAGTAAGTGATATCGTTGTGTTTCCTTGCTCCTCGCGATTGCTTTTCACAAAGCCGAAGCCACAGCATGCCACAGCCATTCAGATTGGAGCCTATGTTGAACTTCGGAACTCCACTCACATGCGTGACTTCACCTGCGTGAACTTCGGCAGAACTGGCAGTGTGCACACCAATAATTAGTCTTGTAGAAGTCCTTGTTGATTCCTCGTGCACCTCGGCCAATCAAGCTCCAGCGTTCATGTGTTGGCCAGCAGATCTCTGTAACAACTTCTGGTTCAGCCACACCTCTGAACGCACTGCGCCTGCAAGCTTTGGGCTATGGACATATGCATCATGTTCTACTGCAACGCCAGCCAGCCATTGAGATCTTGGAATCTTGGCATCCCGGAAAATGAGGGTCATCGCCTGAGCCAAAAGCACAAGTGAATCCTCGGAATCTGCAGCAAAGCACTCAACGTATGACCTGCATCCCACTCCTCTGCAACGCTCCCCATCTCTTCATACACCTCCGACTTCACGGTGCACATGCCGCGGCGAACCCGAGACACCGCGCATGAGGTATTCCTCTCGTTTTATTTTTAAGATTGGTCACAGTGCTTTGTTTGCAGGATTTATAGATTGAAATTAAGATCCTGAAATCCTCAAGATTTCCTATAGAGATGATTTCGCTCAGGAGGCATTCTTCCAGCCCTAAAACCCGAACCCATTGGCAAGTTCAGAACACTCTGGCATCATCTGGCATCTCCATCTTCACGAAGCGGGTTGAATATAATGCTCAGCAAGACTACTACTTCATCAGAACCCGGAATTCAGCATGGTACTACAAACATAATAGCAACGCAAGTTTGGCAGAAACAAGTCAACAACAGAATCGAAGAACATCAAGCCTTCTTTCTCATTCTCATGAGACTGGACTCCAGATCGAGGGTTGAAGCTGGCTTGGGGTGCCCCTTGCATGCAAAGTCAGGGGTCCAATACCACTGACCATTTCCGCAACCAGGAAGAGATCCAAAGGGGTCGATATCTCAGCTTTGGCTGGAGGACGATGGAGTATGCAATCTGGAGCTCTCCACCTCCGAGAAGCCATGGAAACGCATGGGCACGTGTTTAAATAGACCCCCAACGATGGGGTCAACTGGTTGCTCTTCCTTTCCAGGGCGTAGGCGTGGGGGGTCTCCCCCTTTCCATTGGCGTCCTCTTCAGAGTTTCTTCATTTGTTTTCGGCACCTTGTGCTTGTGACATGGCGGCTCCGCTAGAGCTGCAACCGATTTGGATGATCAGCCGAAAGAGCGGCCGGGTAGACAGGATCTTCATCTAACGTAAGGAGTGGTGGGTTTGTGCCATCCAGCTTATTTTTGGAGATGTTCTCCCGTTTACAGTGGTGGTCTCTTGGGCTCTACCCAGGTACCGACCGAGCTTGTCACGTTTCTGTCTGGTGCTCGATCATTCCAAGTTGTTAGGTCTGTGTCATCCATGCTGGGATTGCCTCAAAGATTCTCACATGTTCATTTCATCATGTCATTTCCAGTCTATCTGCATGTCCATTTGAGCAAATCTGCGGTGCAACTCCCTACTCGATCTGCATGTCCATTGAAAAACGATCTGCCGTGCAATAATATATAACGAACCTGAGCATCCACCACGTGCACAGACCGGAACCATCTGGCACACAGAATAGCAACCCCGATGGCAACCACACACCAGCAAAATGTTAAATCATAATTAAAAGACAAGGACCGAAAGCATGGGTTATGGATGGGGGTTCCTGCAATTCCCTCTCGATTTCCACACCCATCTTCGATGCGACGGACTTCGTCGTCGAGTGTCGAACGGCGAGTCCGGTAGGACTTCGACTCGGGGCCACGACTCATGGTTACCACATAGTGTCCCTTCACCTCTTCCGCGACTGCGGCGTGGTGTTCAGCCAAAAACCTGGGGGGGGAGCCGATGTGATGGGAAGCTGCAGGCTGGATGGGCGTATTCGTAGGAAGTTGCCCTGTTGATTGAAGAGGTATGCACCTCCTTAGGACTCTGGGCTCAATTCCTAAGGTTGTTCTGACTTTATTGCTGCAGTTTCTGGATTAACAAAAAACACTTCATTCAATGTCAATCAAATCTGAGCTTCACCGCTAGTCACAGCGACCAACGCCTTTTTCACTGGATCTGAAAAAAGCTCCGGTCAGGACCAATCTAATATTGAGCAAAATTGATTGATGGTGGGATATGGCCCATATAATCTCCTGCCAGGGCTCTTGGCACACATTCATTTTATTGGTCCGATCTAGATAAACATATATGCATGTAGTATAAACCAGGTTCCAGCTTGTGGCAAGGTCTTTCTGGATGGCTGCAATCGATGGTCTCAGCGGGACTATAGCTCCATGCACCATTCCAGAAATCACTGAGCATCCTGAACGCCCTTTTTGATTTGTTGTTAACCTCTGAGCATGTTTCTGGGCTGAAAAGCATCAATCAGCCACTCAGTTTACCAACTGACCCGGCTTGAGCCCCAAAAATCCCTTCTCATCCCATCCCCTTCCCTTCTCCACTCCCGGTGCCCAGTCCCACCCATCTCCGTCACGGGCCGTTTGGCCACGCGCCCCAGGGGCTCCCGGCTGAGTCATCGACTTGAAGCGAACCAAGACGTTGCGCTGCAAGATTTGTAGGTTCGTCCTGGAGGCAGGCGGAGGCGGGACTGGAGGTGGTGCTGGCGGGACTGTGGCGGGATGGGAAGGACAAACCCACGGCATGTCGGAAACAACACAACCGTCTTTGGGGTGCTTTTGTGGACCAAAGACAAGAGGCAAGAACAAATTGGATTGAACCAGCAACCAACAAGCCAGCATCTCCTGCAGATCTTGGGATCAAAGGTCGAATTTCCAAGAATTCCTTGCTTCACCCTCTATTTCCAAGAAGCCCCATGTCTTCTTCTTCTTGGGACGTTCCAGCAGTTCGATTGAAGCTCCCAACTCGGTCTTTGGTTTCTTCAAGGAGTTCACCTTCTGCAGCAGGAAGTCCTTGATCCGTGCCACGGCCTGGGCTTCCGAACCATGTCGCCCCCGGCTCCGGATCGGGCCCCAGGGCACGGCACGGCACGCGCGTGCCGGCACGGCACGTGGCCGAAGAGGTCGGGCCGGCCACGTGGTTCTCATGGGAATGTTGAAAAGAGACTCCCAAATACACCTCACTCATTAATCTTCATCGAAGGCTGGTAACAGGGACCTTTTTTCGAACTATTAAAAAAAAAAAAAAAAATCAGTCAGGTTTTAAGGCTTTTCTTTAGTGTTTGGTGTCTTCTTCGTCAAGCCACGACGGACCAAGCAATATAATTGCAGGTATTGCACCCCAACAGGACCCCGAGATGAAGGGGAATACCTCTTCCGTCTTCTGTGGGTGATCACGGCAGGGGACCCATCAAAAAAGGCATATCCGGAGATCCTAAACGGAATAGTGGTAAGAATTGTTTGGTACAAGCGATGGCCTTTCAACAAGGTCACGGGGGCTTGGAAGCCGAGTGAAGCCAAGCACATACAAGGCGAAACGTCAGGATGTCCTCTTTCACTTGACTGAAAATGGACTGGCCAAATCTGGAGGAGAATGTCGAAGCTGGAACCCATTTAAATCCGACAGGGAAAAAGGGCACTGCCTGGCACATGTCAGAGATGTTTTGAGGTCCAAAATGCTCAGATTGCCACTTAGTCCCAATTCCTCGGATCATTGGTGTCTCCCGACAAGTTCGATGTCCCAAGGGTTATGGTCCACGGAAAGGTCTATATACCAGGACCCTCCAAGGGGTGTCTATTTATAGCCCCTTAGCTGTTAAGGGGTGTCCGCAAACCACCCCTTGGATGGTCCTGGACTCCGAATTTCCAAGGGTTCTGAAGGTGGTTTGGATGAAAACGATTGTCGTCTCTCTCTCTCTCTCTCTCTCCTCTCTCTCTCTCTCTCTC